AACAGTGTCGATGCGCGTCCCTTCCAGAAATTTTCCTTTGGCGTGAGAAAACGAAGCTTCTAGAAGTTTCGAAGGCGTCCCTTTTTTGTGAGTGCTGGCAGTAAATTATATTTCAAATCGTAAACTTGCTCGGACTTGCCGAGTTTTGTTTGTAAACATTTTGCTCGAGTACCCGCCTCGGTCAGCACGTGCGGATCAGCCTAGGCGCACGTGATGGTCAGCCTTGCTGCATGCGCGGTCAGTCTAGGCGCACATGCGGTACGCCGGACTGCGTATATGACCTTTCTTTTGTTTGAAATTCATGGGACTGCTTCAAACCCGAACATAGTCTTTATTGTATATTCTCATTTATAATATTTATAAAAAATTTATAATTCTTATGATATTATAGTATATTGTTATAATATATTCTTAAATATCTCTCATTCATATATTCAATTTTTATATAATATTATATTATATATATATATAAGTTCTCTCTCTATCTTTCTCCCTACTTTTTTGTAAAGTAAACTATTGATTCTTATTTATTTTGAAGTATTTTATTGCTAACATAAAAAAAATGAAATTATTTGTGATTAGTTTTTTATAATTTTATAAATAATTAATTATTTATGAAATTTGTAGAAAATGAAAATATTTTATAAAACGATGTTTTTTATATATTTTTTAGCAAGTTAAAGTTAAACATACAATAAAAACTGACCACTATCAATTTGTCTTCAAAAAATTTAATTATATTAAAACATCAAAATTTATAAAAATTTTATATATTTATGAAATGCTCCAAATTTCAAAACTTCATAAGGCAACCTAAAATATTAATTAAAAAATGAATTTATTCTCTTTTGAATTTGATATTATTCAAAATTATTTATATGCAGCTTATTTAATAAGCTTTATTAAACCATTGTTACGGATTGAAACAATTGAAAGCGGAATACAAAAGTGGGAGAGGTATGAGCTCCCTGACAGTTGTTTATAAACACTAGCCAGCAAACTCGAGAAATGTTTCTTCGCTGAAAACTCGAATATACGATTATAATCCCGAAAAATTATAACAATGAAACTTCCAAGGCTATGCCCGATATTGATGTCACAACAAATATCGGCATAGCAACAGACACCGGATCGCTACCGGCGCCTAAAACTACCACGAGAATATTTAAGGGCTGCGCTTGCCGCGCAGTCTAGTCTAGTAACAATTATGCAGTCATCATGATGGACTCACTAATCAATCTTCAAGCTTCGCTCTACAGTCATCACTCGCTGTAGTTATACACGTACGTAATACTCAACCAGTAAGCAATCTAACAATACAATAGTGAAACCACATTATCAGAATCCGTAATTAAGCTTAAACGAATAACGCGCTAGTGCTGACATAATCGAGAGTGAAATTATCAAAATCACAATTAACGGATCACACTGACGACTAAGGCAGCAGCAAACCGATTCCCGTTTAGAAAGCTTCGGTACGACAGCGGCGGCTCTCACGCATACTACTATAGCGGCACTTTTCGGCAGGGAAGGAGTCACTCCTCACATCAGGGAGAGTATAAACACTCTACTCAGCACGTAAACCAATTGAAGATACTTCCCCAAATTATTCACTCACACCTTCATTTATACATTTTATGATCATTAACTATTTATTATATTATTATAATAATAAAGGAAAGACAAGAAACACTGCATGTAGTATTGAATAATTGCATTGCCCCTTTCACTTGCCAGCAACACCTCCACCCACCATCAAAGGGAGATTTTTAGTCTGATCGCAGACAACCATGATAAATTATAATATTAGATAAAGTAATAGAACATTATTACATTTGTGTTAAAATTGGTGTATTTCTGAAAATTATATAAATTTTTAAATATTAAATTATTAAAATATTAAATATTAATTTTTAATGAAATTTAAACAAAAAATTAAAAAAGATAAAAGTTTTGTTTTATATAAAATCGCCAATATCATATTAAAATATTCTGGTGCATTCCTATGAAAAATTTTGAAAAATTCAATTCTCAATTATTATTGAAAATATATTTACATATACTTTTCCTTATGTTTTTAAAATTTGAATATATTTTAATTAATATATATAATTTTGATGAATCAGAAAATTATTTTATTTTTAAAATATATTTGTAATATTCTTCAATAATGTATCTTTTACTACAGAATTTTATATATAGTTTTTCTGACATTTTTAAGGTAGCTTTAGATTTATAATTTATTTTGAATGAATTAATGGTAAATAATAATATTACAATACAATACCGAAAAATATTGGTACAAGGGTTTGAAACGTTTTATTTGAATTAACTTATTTTCAATTGGTTTAAAGGGATGAAAGAAATATGTTAATATATGTAATAAACTAATAATAAGAATTATAATAAAATTATTACAATAAACATTTATATAAATAAAACATAATTGTGTACCTATAACCAATTAAATTCTTATTGTCAATTGTTTCAATACTACAATATTTTGAGTTAAATACAAAAAATAACCCTTAAAAATAGTTGAGTCATGCAACTTTAAATAAAGTTTTCAAATGAAAAAAAATAAAATTAGATAAATAAGTAATTTAAAAAATTAAATTCTTATTTAAAATTCACGTATTATAATGTAGGATCAGGACAACTGGAGTTTGAAGAGTTCTGTACATTATCTGCAAGATTTCTAGTAGAAGAAGATACTGAAGCGATGCAACAAGAATTAAGAGAAGCCTTTCGATTATATGATAAAGAGGGAAATGGATATATTACAACAGAAGTGTTTCGAGATATTCTACATGAACTTGATGATAAATTATCGCCTGAAGAATTAGATTTGATGATAGAAGAAATCGATGCCGATGGGTCAGGAACGTTAGATTTTGATGGTTTGGCAATTTTTTTATTTTTTATTAATATGTGTTCTAATACTAGTAAATTTGTATTTTAATAATATTCGTAATTGCTTTGATAATATGTTCTTGTGAAGAATTTTAAATCATTATTATAAATGCATTTAAATATATTAAAATAATTTAAAATTATGAAATTTTTCATATAAATGCACTATTTATTTTTAGTTATTAGTTACAATTAACAATGTCTGACTAAATTAAATTTTTTATAGATATATTATACGATAAATTTCTTAAATTACTATATAATTTAGTAATAAAACGATTGAAATTTATATAAGTAAAATTATTGGTATTTGTAAATAAAATAGAGAATTAAATAAATTATTGATCTAATAAATTTACTTATTTTTCATGTAGTTTTTTCATTTATCATCAATATTTAAATAATATAAAGTCTTCAAAAGTAATATGATAATTATAATGAAATTATCAATTAATATTTTACTATTTTAGTACTATTTATATATCTTTATCTAATTCAATTCAAATATTAAATTAACCACTATACACTTTAGTTGTCTTTTGCTATGAAAATTCAAGTTTTATTATATACTTTTTGATGTATACACTTAACTTATTACTATTAACATAGTTATAAAAAAATATAGAAATTGAAAAAGCTAGTTTTAATTATAATTTTAAACGTATTTAACAAATATATTATTCGATGCATTTGTGCTAACGAGCGGTCCGTGAAAGAAAGAATAAATATTATTTTTTTCTCCAAAAGACTAAAAAATAAAGATTAAAATACTAATGAAGAACGGAAAAAATATAATAATCTTATTTTCATAATTCATTTATATTATTTTTATATGTGATTTTAATTTGTTATTTTCCTATGCTTTAAACAGACTGGTTATAACTTCAGCAAATGTAATACTATTCATGCTGATATTATTTTCATCATATTAATTTTTTTATATTGTCATTCTCTTCTTCGTCTTAATTGAAGATGTATCTACTATTCAAAATATGAACCTCAAATATTTATTTCTCTTCTTTAATTTTTTTCCTTCATTTTAATCACAATTGACACTCTGCTTAACCTTTTATTTTCTTGCTTGTAATGTCGCATAAGTTTCTTTACATTAAAAGTAACATATTCTCAAAACTTTACATTCATAGTTATTTTTAAAAACAATTAAAATAATTATTTTATTTTAAAACGATAAAATTAATTTATTTCTAGAAAACAAAAATAGCGTGTGAATTATACGGAATATAATGATTACCAAATTGTTATAAATATATTTGTGATAATATTTATTATTTCTTTTAGTATCTCATCATAAAATCTGACTTCTATGTTCTATAATTAATAGTCGATATTTATAGTATAGTTTTGGCTCGTTACACAAAAAAATAACAGTATCCTATGTTTTGTTTTGTATACATTCATAAGAATCAAGATAATTTTTTACAGTATACTATAAAATATTATAAATACAAATATCTATATAAAATACTGTATATTAATATAATTCTAATATTATAAAACACAGTGTTATTTTAATTATTTAGTATTTTTTCCGAATTAATCTTTCCGAAATTTCGAATATAATTATTTTTCTACATACTTATCGCTGAGTAAAAAGATTAGTATACAAGAAGGTATAAGTACGAATTACCACAAACAAACATATTATCAAAGATTGTATGTAATAATTTATTGTAACGAGAGCAGTAAATACAAAAATTCAAAACAATATAAGATTACTAGGAAAAAAACTAGCTTTATAACATATATGCCAACCAACATTTATATATCATAATAAGAGTATGTAAACACATATCAATATTTAAATAAATGTATGAATACTAATATACGTATATAATTTTCTCAATTTTCGTATATTAATTTAACTTTTTATATTCGTTTTTCCAGAATTCATGGAAGTTATGACTGGAGGAGATGAGTAATGGTATTATTCGAATGCATTATAATTAGAACACTAAATACATATAGTTAGTAAAATGATTGAACTAATATTTAAAAAGCAGAATGTGTTTGTTATAATTATAAATATTTTTATTTATTCAGAACAATAAAAGAAAAATATAAATGTATGAATATTTTGTTCATTTCAATAATTTCAATAATACTTTAGATATTTTGGAAATTTAACTAGCTATAAAATGAAATTACTAAAAAATAAAATTTCATATTTTTAATTACATAATGTAATTATTATTTTGTAAAATAAGTGACTTATTAGAAATATTTTTTTCAGTAATTTTGTATAAAATCGCTTCACTGCGTGTTCGAAAAGAAATCTTTTTTGTCTTCGAATGGCAGCAATAAATTATGCTCGTAAATAGTGCAATAGAATAACTAATTTGCAAATCTACCTTATTGGGGGCCTAATGAAAAACAGTTAAAATCAACTATAGTAGTTTACGTTTTATAAATGATATATACACGCAGCAATGTGTAACAAGTTTTATATGCAGTACTGTTTGTTTTTATTAAATAACAGCTTTGAAAATTAATAATACTTATCTTATAATCGTTGTTAACAACAATTTAACCATGATTTATCTAAATCTATGTAATGATATATGATCGTAAAATATAAAATTATATATAAAACTAAAAAATATATATATAAAACTACTAAGTCTGGTGAATATAACAAATGAGAAAATAATATAATTAAATGATGAATTGATTAAATAAGTTGTTAAATACAATGTTCGAACCTTTAAAATATGATTAGGTAGAAGCTATTTGGAATTTTCATTTATCGATTTTGACAACTATACATATTTTAAGCTTTTCTTATTAATTTGTATATTTAATCATTTATAATTTAATAATTTATAAAAATTACTAATTTAATAAAAGAAACACGTGATAAATGTTTTTAAATTTAAACTATTACAATTCTTGTTGGTATTTATTAAACAATGTTCAGAAACAGCACATTAATAGACCATTTGTCTGTTTTTATCTAAGGTACTGTTTAGTGACTACTGATCCTTTTTATATTTCTTAAATCCACAATTTAAGGTAATTTATGGTGTCGAGATAATTTTAAAAAGTAAGTTATCCTATGATGCTAATATTTAACATAAATAATAAGCTAATATTTACCGAATTTCAAGACATTTATGAAAAACTATTTTTATTGTGTACTAATGATATTATTATAAATATTTTTAATTGACGCATTTAATTCGGCGCATGCGCATTATTTGAGAAGTTAAATCCTTTTTGTTACAAAAGTTATTTATGCAAAAAATTAAAAAAATAATTTAAAAAATTTCTGAACATTCAAATATTTAAATTATACATTACTATTTAATAATTTAAAATTATGCTTAAATTATCAGTGTGAAATAAATTTTCATTATTCTTAACTAATTTAGATTTATGATATAAATAATATTATTAAGGTACCCTATAAGATATAAAATTATAATCCTTTTTAATATTTAATATATACTTAAAATATTAATTTTTGTTATTGGTTGACAGTCGGTTGGAAGGGGTAGAAACAGTACCAAACATGTGAAGCTAATGGCTGCTACTATAAACTCAATTGAAAGAAAAAAATAAGTGATAATAGATTAATATTTAATGCGTGTAAAATATTCTTTATGTATTAAGAATTAGTTAATATACATTAATTATTTTTATAAATATACTTTATATATTATAAATTAAAATAAAATTTAAAATACAACTATGCTATAGTAATAAAGTTAATACTGTTTATATTGAAGGTTGCATTTCCATAAATAAAAGCTTAATAAAATGAAAAATATAAAATTTACAAACCATTTTTTTTTTATATAATTAAATAAATATTCTGAATAGCATGATTTTATTATGTTTAATTCTGTTTATACATTCATGTTGATGGTAAAAATTGAATGTGAAATATTTATTCAAATAAAAATATACATTCACAAATAGTATTTCTAGTTTAAAAATTGCCTTGGTATGTTTATACATAAAAGTCAAGTAATTTTTTAAATAAAATATACATAGTAAGTGTTTTTTATAATTTTATAAGTGATGCTGAAACTTTTCAAATTGGTTTTTAAAAACTATAAAATGTGGATAATGTAATTTGAATTAATAATCAAAGTGCAACTTTGTATTTATACAAAATGGTATGTGTTAATTTTAATTTAATATTTTAAAATATTCTAATGCTATAAGAAAAATATTAATACTTAGCTTATACGTCCAATCAAGCGCAAAAAAGAAAATTTAATTATACTTGTACATATGGATATATTTCTAAATTATAATAAATTCCATATCTTTATTAAAATTTACTTATGATAAATCTAATTTCAGTTCAATGTTATAAAATACTTTAATAAATATTTAAATGTATTTATAAAATCATTATAATGCTGTTCACAGTAGTATACTTATAATGTATCTTTAATATTATAAATATATAGTTAATCTTTTAATAAACAAGGCATTTATAATATACAAAATTAATTTATGGTACCCGTTAAGTGTATATAGAATATATATTCGAACAAAATTTCAAAAACTATTTGATACAATTCAGAGTACATATACTTATTTTATATAAAGCTTTAAACATTGATAATAGTGTCTTAAAAATTATACATAATAATATTAAAAATTCTTTTAATATTTTATACAATTTTGGATAATTTATAAGTTCTGCTTAATAATATTAAGTATGTATTATTATTCCAATATATTCTATAATATAAAATAATATTATTTTATTTCAAATGTATAAAAAATTTTATTTTATTTTTAATTGTTTTCATTACTAATATATTTGTATTAATTGTATAAAGATAAAATTAAATTAAAGTTTTTTATTATTCTTATTATATTACAAATATGTCTGAACATAGAACATAATTTATAAATAAATATGTGCTCTTTTATAAAAATAATTATTTTTAGATAATTAGATATTTATTTGTATAATCAAAAAGTTCACATTTATGAAATTAAATGCAGGTAACTATTGATGGATGATATAAATATCTATATAAAATCCAATAATAATTTTCTTATGTACATAGACAATAATGGGATATACAAGTAAATAAAAGTAATAAAAGTAATAAAAGTAAAAGATGGTTAACCAAAAATAAATGAAATATATGTTATACGTATAAATACAATATCAGAAATATTTTATCAAGTCCAAACTTCTTAATAGTTTTTTTAGAAATATATAATTGTAGAAATCAATAAAAATAAATATACGTGAATAAGTACCACAAACAAAACAAACAAAATAATGTTTGAACCTATTCAGTCCAATTCTTTTCCATGATGGATTTACATATTTAAAAATACTTATTTTTTGATAAATAGCAAAAATAATTATATTTCAAACCAAATAATTATGATTATATACCATTTACAAACTGTTATTATAATGACTTAATTAAATAATTAAAATAAAATATTAAAATTTAATATCTTTTATATAATAATGATATTACTTAATAAAGCTCTATTAGTAAATGTTTATCCAAAATGTCTAAAATGCCATTTTGTATTAAAATAAGTTGGTATACATTAATAAGCTCTTTTGCTTATGATTTGTACAACTATGCATCCATCCTGTTTGTGTAGACGTACTCAAATGCGTGTTTACAATTGTCTGTAATTCTTCCTAAATCTAACATATTCCTGTTTAGTAGAATAAAAGATTATGTATATCTTAAAATATATTTTTACTTAAATATATATATAACAAAAAATAATTTTAATATTCATAACAAATGAAATCTTATACTCTTCTTAAATGTAATTACAATCATGTGTTCGATTAATTTGTTTTGAAATACAACCATATTAAATATATATATACAGAAAGATATGTATAAGCAACTTATTTTGTTTAAATTTTTTAATTTCTAAATATATGCTATTAATTATAAAAATAATTTGAAAGTATTAATAAAACAGTGTTCGAAGTTGGAGCATTTTCCAAGACTTTGAAAATCGGAGAAGTATAAGCCTTCTAACTCTCGTGTGTGTAAACATTGATTCTGCGAATTCTTGAATATTCTACTCCTTATTTTCGAGTGTCCTACAATATTTTCCGTATAGCAACATCGGTTGGAATTCTTCGACGTTCTAAAGCTTTGCTTTCTTGGAGTTCTCGAAATTTCTAGAGCATTAGTTTCTGACGCCATGCACGATTTTTGGCATAGCAACACCTATGCATTGTTGCCAGCTAAGTAAACTGCCACGCGGATATTTAAAGGAAGCACGCCTCACGCTCTATCAGTGAAGAGGCCATGGACGGATCACGTACCGTCTTAGCAGGACCACCATGGAACAGTCGGTGTCTTTCAGCAGAGCTGCCACGGAACGAATAAGCTTTTAGTTTCGTGTGTGTATTCAACAGGCTTGTAGGCTTTTATTGTACTTACATCATTGAGCGAGACTTTACAGTTATAAGCTAGTTACTCAGTTACGCCAATACAGTGAAGCTATTATATTCAATACACGTTCAATTCTTAAGTGCGTAATAATTGAAAGCAGTCAAGAGTGCAGACTGATTGTATTACAAGAATAGACACGACTACAAGAAGCGAAATATCTAGGCACTCATTACAAGATCCGGCCCTCCTACTAATGTGCAACTGGCACAGGCAATAAGACACTCTGTGCGACCAAGAAAGGCCAACAAGGGCCTTCTAGAAGGAAATAAGACACCACATCTAACCAGTCAAATCTCTCCAGTGAGGAGAACTCAATATATTACCCTCACGGGGCCGTACACGAAGAAGTACCAAGGATTTACGACTTATTACTTTTCAGTCTAATAATTTATTATTAATTTACCACCAAGCACATTACGTCAAGAGGATCCGGATATTTACGACCTTCTACCACATGCTAACGCCACGTGGCAACTACCACCGACCTGCAAGATATCAACCGATTCTCAATGCCATCTTAGAATCATTATTATTGTGTAGTTTGTAAAATAAAAGGCAATAAACAGTACGATAAACAAATGTGTTTAAATATAGAATAACTGCACTATCCTTTCCAATTCCCCGCACTTCTTTCCCCTACCAGGCTGGTGGTCATAATCTAAGCCAGCCATCCTGGTCCTTTGATAACTGAATGACTGGATTTCTAAACAAACAGACTGTTCTATTTATTTGTCAATATAGTATACTCATAATTTAAGTACTGTACTTTTGTGAGATATATAAATAATATATAAATTCAATAATAACATCAAGTAAGAAATTCTGATATTTTGATATACATATAATTTTTATGTGTATCTGTTACGGATTGAAACAGTTGAAAGCGGAATTCAAAAGTAGAAGAGGTATGAGCACCTGGACAGTTGTTTATAAATACTAGCCAACGAACTCGAGAAATGTTTCTACGCCGAAGACTCGAATATACGACTATAATTCCGAAGAATTATAACAATGAAACTTCCACGGCTATGCCCGATATTGATGTCACAACAAATATCGGCATAGCAACAAACACCGGATCGCTACCGGCGCCTAAAACTACCACGAGAATACATAAGGGCTATGATTACCGTGCAGCGTCTCAGTCTAGTAACAATTACGCAGTGAACGGGACGGGCTCATTATTTAATCTTCAAGCTTCGCTCTACAGTCATCACTCGCTGTAGTTATACACGTACGTAATACTCAACCAGTAAGCAATCTAACAATACAATAGTGAAATCGCATTATCAGAATCCGTAATTAAGCTTAAACGAATAACGAGCTAGTGCTAACATAATCGAGAGTGAAATGATCAAAATCATACTACTTATATTAACGGATCACATTGACGACTAAGGCAGCAGCAAACCGATTCCCGTTTAGAAAGCTTCGGTACGACAGCGGCGGCTCTCACGCATACTACTATAGCGGCACTTTTCGGCAGGGAAGGAGTCACTCCTCACATCACGGAGAGTATAAACACTCTACTCAGCACGTAAACCAATTGCAGAAACTTCTCCAAATTATTCACTCACACCTTCATTTATACATTTTATGATCATTAACTATTTATTATATTATAATAATAAAGGAAAGACAAGAAACACTGCATGTAGTATTGAATAATTGCATTGCCCCTTTCCTTGCCAGCAACCCCTCCACCCACCACCAAAGAGAGGTTTTTAGTCTGATCCCAGACAGTATATATACAGTAAAATTTGAGAAAAATTTCTTAAAAATTTATTTTAAAATAACGACACATGATTGTTTAATAATAGATTTTAATGTAGTATTATTTAGTATTTTTAGTTTGATTTTCATGTAGTATCAATCCAAATAAAATTGAAAAATAGATAAATTTCAAAGATTTTGGATAAAAAATATTATAATAAATAAAAATAGTAAGTTTAGGAATTTTTATTTTAAAAATTTAGACATACATAATTAATTTTTAATTTTTAATTAAAATTTAAGTACAATAAGTTATAAAATTGTATTATATCGATATTCCAAAATACAGATAATTTTTGTATAAGATTATTGTAAATTAAATCATAGAGACATGTATTATGATACGTAAAGAAAGTCTAATGTTAGTTATTCAAAGGTTCAAATATTCAACTCTGACTATGAATGAAATAATATTTAATGACTATATTTTACTTGATGTAGAATATTTAATGTATATTTATATTTTATATTAATTATTTATTAACAATGTTATTTACCTAGGTTCACGTTCAATAAATTCGATAATATCTTTGATTTATACCGATTTAGAGCATTAAAATATAAACACATACTTGTGTTATAAAAAAAATATTATTTTCAAAAGTTTACAAGTTACGTTATATATGAGGTATTATTAAAAATTGTAGAAATAGAATTTTTTAATAATACTGAAATACAATTTCGCGTCAATAAAAATAGGTTTCACCGGAGAAATTGTAGTGTAACTATAATTAAACAATATTGTGAGATGTTTTAAAGGTGAAAATAGTAAAAATAAATTCTATCAAATATCATATTCAAATTTATTACAGTTCATTTATTATCTATGTTTTTCCAAATAATATTTTACAAATAAATCGCTAATAAGCTAGAAATGTAATACGTATTAAAAAATTATTTATCATTTACAGGAACAGGTACATAAATAAATTGAAAGACAAACTTTTTAAGTAAAATATTTGTTTCGGCAAATGTAACACAAAAATTAACATTTGAATATTTTTGAACTAGCGCATATAAGCTCTACAAAAAATTACTTTTATTTATTCATTAATTCTTTATACAAATATTGATTTAAAAAATAACAGATTATTTCGAAAATTATTTTACTTATACAAATAATAAAAAATTTATTGAATATATAATATGAAAAACGGTTTATTGTGTAATAAACACATGATTTTCCATTAAAAAATTATTTCTAAATCTTACTTAACAAGTTTCATATTTCTAATCCATTCTATAACCACTTCTACCTTCGTTAAAAAAAAAATTAAAAAAAATTTTTTCGTTAACCTTATTATTGATTTAGTGGATATGGAATCTTATTGAATTAATAATATCCGTGTTTTTGTTTTTATCATATATAATTAATCGTGACTTTGAAATTTGTATTTTAAATTTAAAATATCTTTATTGTCATCATACTTCATTGGTTGTTACTTTTGACTTCGTTCGGTTTGATCTAAAGATCTGACGCTAATTAATTATTGTTGCTAGTATTGAATTGACATATTCCATGTTACATATCATTTTTATTAAAATCTACTCCATGATACATTTTCATTATATTAAATTTTTTTATGAATATTCTTTAGCTTTTTAAACTGCTAATGATATAGATATTAACTAAATCTTTTAACATGATATGTAATATACGATTTAATTTTTATTTTCTCAATTTTTTGTAAATCTTCTGTGTTGAGAGTAATACTAAAAATATAAATACAGCTATATTTATATTTACTGAATTCTCATAGCTACCAATGATATCATCACTCTTTTCCGTAATCAAAGTAAATGTATTCTATAAGTTTGTAATAATTATCCTGTCGACATTACTTGATGTTATGTTATAACTCTTTAGAAACCTGAGAAAGTTCTCAGGTTATTTAGTACTACCCGAAAACTCGCAACTTTATAAACCTATAATTAAATTAAAAATTTTATTTAAAGGTTTCTTTTGATAAGTAATATATAAATATAGATAATACATAAATATATTTTATGTAACGTATAATTTTAGTACAAATTTATATATATGAATTTATGTTTGATCATATTAGAAAAAACTATAATTATTTAATAATCTTTCACTGTAAAAATAAAAAATTATTTCCTTTATATATTATATTATATGTGCACGAATGATATCAGTATGTTCATCGTAAAAAATATTCATTAACTAGAAATAATAACTTGTATGACTTATTTTTTACAGATTTTATTTGAGACATTTATATTACATTGTGATATGTCAATGAGAACAAGAGAAGCATATAAGATTAGCTTATAATTGGGAAGATTATTAATTATTCACAAAATTGAGAAAGCAAATGCCATTTTGATGCGTCTTATTGTAGATTTTCGTATATATGAAAGCGAGTATATGTGTGTAATTTTATTCGTGACCTTAAACCGTACATAAAATTCAACGATTTAAAGATACTAATGTTATTATTCGTAATCAACTAATATAAAATGTTAGCGTATTTTTATTAATACTGGTATATGTAAATATAGACATTCCAATTTTCATTTCAATTTACAAGTAATGTGTTCAAAATTTAGAGTATTTGCCTCCTGTGGAGGTTATAAATTTTCAAACGATAGAACTTATAGGTGGTTTTTAAATTCCAAGTTAAAAGAGAAATTATTGCATATCAGACTGGTTAGATCAAAAGAATTGGTTTTTAGGGTATGGCGCCTATGCCATTAAATTGTCTCTCTCAGTTTAATAGTAAATGTTCATTTTTTAATACGTACAAACAGAAATATAATTTGATTTGCGAGTCGAACTTAAAAAAATATTTAGCTTATATAGCAACTCAACATGGATTTATCTTTAAATACTGCAAATTAGTAAGCAGTAGAAAAAATAAAAAAGAATATAACATTAGCACCGTGGCTGCGAACGCTAGTGAACTGGACTTGGTCGTGGCGAACGAGACAAGCAATTTTGAGTACGATGATAACGAGTGGGATGTTGGAATTGGAAATCTTATTATAGATTTAGATGCAGATATAGAAAAAACTCAAGAGGAGAAACTAAATTTAGAAGTCGGTATGGCTTCTACACCCTCTACATCTTCTTTAAATCATCAGATTCAAACAGCTGAAAATCTCAATTCACCCTGCAGTGATAAATCGCATTCAAGTAGCTGTCATCTGTCACCTTCCTTACAATCTTCTGCAATTTTTCCATCGTCCACATGCAATATTAATACACAAAATCACAATTTAAGTAATACTAATAATTCTTTAGAACTTACAATTACTAATTGTAAGTCAAGTTCTATTTGTAATATATCTGGAACAAACCTTTGTAATAAAATGGCAGTAGAACATTCCGCTACTGTAGACAAAGGTTTGAAAATGAAAATTAAACGCACAAAACCGGGAACAAAATCAAATGAAATAAAGCATGAGATTGTAAAGTCAAATGAAGTTAATGGTTCTTTATCTAATCAAGATAGTTCGAGTTCGGTAACAAACAATTTATCATCTATACCAATATCAGGTTCAACTACATCTCAATATGTACATACAGCTATTGAAGCTTCGAGTTTGTCTTCATCAAACAAATCAAAATCTTTTAATTTAGCACCTTCTAATTCAGCTTCACTTAATACAATAACATATAATTCATCTAAAAGAACATCTGGTAATCATCGCCGCGAAAAGGGACGTGATAAACATGACAAGTTGCAAGTTACCCATACGCTACAATTACCTAAGATAGAATTAAATGGTTCTGCAAAACATGTTATTCAAAATAATGCTCAAAATATGTCATCAATAACAGAACCATCTAATACGACTGCATTAACTAATTTGGGTATAACTTTATCAAATCATATTTCGTTAGCAAATGATCAAAACATTAATTCTACAATTTACACAAACTCATCTCCTTCACCGATTTTATCTCCCTCAATAACTAATTTTGGAAATAACTCTGACCAATGTGACGAACTTACTGCTAATGCATCTCAAGTACAAATTCAAAGATCCCAATTATGTTCAAGAACCACGTTTCAAGTTACCCAAAATAACACAAGTTCAAATGAAACATCAAATACTGTAGTATGTTCATCTAATACAACTTCGATAGTATGTTCTACATTTAGTGCAGAAGATGTAAAATGTTCTCCAAATACTGGAAATATTAATGCTCCAAATGTCTGTGATTCCATGGATACTGCAATCGATTCTCCGCCAGCTAAAAAATCAAAATGCATAACAGAAACAGAATTAAAGGTATGCTTGCAATATTTCTAATCAATTTAAGTATTTTTTTCAATAAATTTTTTTTAATGTGTTAAAATGTAGCTGCTAAATACAATGAAAAATAATTATTTTCTAATAGTTTCACATAATTATCTGCAATTTCATTTATTTACCTTAAATTATCAGACCAAAAAATCTAGACAGAAATTTGATAAATAATATTTAAAATACATTAGTTTCAAAATTTTATTTTAAATGTAATAAAGATAAGAACTCTCTCTCTCTCTCTCTCTCTATATATATATATATATATATATATATTCTGTAGTAAAACTATACTGAAACATTATATTTATTATTGCAACTATCTAAACAAAACTTAATTTAAAACATATCAACAAGAAGCATTCTAGTCTATTTCTTATTATTATAATTAGACATTTTTTCATTTTTCTTGATAATATTTTTTGTAAAATTCATCATGTTCTAAGTAATTCTATTTTAATTTCGCTCAAAATAAATGTTTCATTTAACGATCAATACATTACAACTTCTTAAAAAAAAATGTTATTTAAGTTTATGCCCTGTGTAAGTAATCTCATATTATCTACATCAATAGAATTTCGTCAAAACTTATTATAAACACGGAACGTTATACAAAGATGATTTACCCAATAAATATGAAGTAATTTTTAAAGCAACAAATTAGAATATCTATGAGTACAATTACTAACAAGAAAATAATAGAAAGAAAAAATTATAAAGAAAGAATTCAAAAATAATGATGAAAATACTAGCAAAATGAAATTTAATAGTAAACAAGTGATACATAAAAGAATCTTGATGTATGAAGTACATTTTAATTAAAATATTCTCTCAATAAATATTACTCTGGAACTATAACATAAAATTTTAATATCTTAACGTATAAACAAATATATGTATTTAATTAGAATCAATTATGAAAAATTACAATAAATTAACTATTATACATGCATTACTTAGTAATAAACTTTAATGACACAGAATATAAAATTAAAACTTGGAATGAATTTTAATACCATATTTATTTATACAGATGTTAGTCTGTCTTCTACAAACAATACTTTTTTAATAAACTAATCAATTAAAAAATTACGAAAATAAATAAATAAATAAAAGTTCTGGGTATTCATCTTTATTGGCTATAGTGAATTGATACCAAAAATATGATTTATCATATAGCATCAAATATAAAGAAGTATAAAACTACAATTATTATTATATAATTATATATAATAATATAATTATTAGTAACAGGATACATTTCTTTTTAAAATAATTAAATATTTATAGCCCATAATTTAATGTACTTTCTATTATACTTTCTATTTACTTTTTTCTAGTAATTTTGACGGCATCATATTTTATATTAATTGGCGATAAATGGTGATAATGTCATTTTAATAGAATAAATCTACTTAATGTTCTGTAGACCAATTCAAGATTAAAAAATTAATTTGGCTACCTTCATCTTCAATTGTTTTCTAATAATCTAAATTTGTTATTTAATTACTTACTTATTTCAAATAATTTTTAAAGCATATGATTTGAAGAATGCAACAACTGTCTTGTTAGTAATATTTACATTAGTTACAATAGTTATATCAAATTATTTATCATTCATACATTAGAGTATATTTTTTTTAGTTTAAGCTTAAATTATACAGTCCATAATTGATAATTTATGTAAAAAAAATTTAACAATGCTTTTATTAACTAAAAACAAACTCTTAAAAAAAAAAATTTCATTTCAAATTTGCTAATATCCACAATCTCATATTATTGCAAATATTTACATTTGTTATAGGAAATGACTGATATCTGTGTAGGAACTAGTATCGGAACCATAACAGAACCGGATTGTTTAGGTCCTTGTGAACCTGGTACATCCGTCACGTTGGAAGGAATCGTATGGCATGAAACCGAAGGAGGTTTGATTTTTATATTAAAAATTGATTAACATCTTTTGGTAATTCATTATCATAAATTATTATTGTTTGCAAAAATTATAATTTGCATATGTATTACCATAGAATTTACTTTAAATGTTAGTTCGGTAATAAAAATATACTGTAGAACAAAATATGTTAACATATTAATTAATAACACTAAGGTATTAAAAACAAAGTGAAAGAAGCCGTCGCTTTTAAGCGATGTATCTTATAAATCTGTTACATAAGCGTTATATTTGTCGAAAATTTTACTAAATTCAGAATTTCTTATAAGTTTTACCATTTTGTTATTAATTGATATAATGTACTAACAGTCGAGGACAATCTATATAATAATTTGCGAATTTCAAAAGAAGATTTAACAATTTATATATTTATTGGTGTATATTATTGGGATTCTTTTATTTATTTACTTTAATATCATTTTTGTTATTTCAGCTGTAATTAATTGCATAAAAGATTGTAGAAACTAAATTTTACTTCTTATTAGAAACTAATAATTTCAAATCTTTACTTACACACTATTTTTTAAAATATCGTTCACTTATTTATTAAACATTTATCACACATTTATTAAATTATAGTGGTCACATTATAAATGATCTAGATTCATTTGTAAAAAAAAGTG